TAGGCTCCTTTGTTCTAAGACGATTCGAAATAGTTTAGGAATTGTTTTAGTAAGCCAAACTGTTTAGTTGAAATAGTTGAGGCTCAAGCTCATATCAATCTCTTATCAAATTTCTACTTTTGATTTAGACAACAAACATTTGTTTTTATTTATCAAAAAATATTTTATTTAATTTCTTTAGGCTAGTAAGAGCTTTAATTTTTGTTACAATTCTTTAATTATGTTATTAGGAAACTGAATTCTTATAGCATGAATTGAAAACCAAATAATAACAAAATAATTTAAAAAGATAAAAGTCATAATATATAAAAATATTAATACAGAGAAAAGAGAAAATTCAAAATTTAGTTTAAAACATTAAAATTAAATTTAAAAAATAAAAATAAATAAAATGAGGAAAAAACGGAAATAAAAAAATACTAAATAAATATTAATACACGAAAACATTATTAGATCAAACCCGAACAGCTCCAAATTTAAATTAAAAAAAAAAAAAAAAAAAAAAATTAAAATAAAATTAAAAATATAAAAATAAATAAAATACCCTAAAAAAATAAAAGAATATAAAAAAGTTTAATCTATTTACAAATAATTAAATTGAAGATAAATAATGATAAAGTATTTAAAAATAATGAAATGCAAAAATTAAAGATAAAATACAAAATTAAATTTACATTTTATTAAAATTAATTTATTATTATAATTTTATATAATTTTATAATAAGTGTAGCTTCTTTTGCTATATTTTTCTATCATTGTATTTAACAATTAAGTCGCTAATCGAGCCCATTGTCCAGGTCAGTTAGTCATGTTGCGGCCGCAGGGCCCAAAAGAAAATTTTAATAAAACGACACGACGAGGGCGACGCGGACGATGATGAAGACGATGATGACAATGATGACAATGATGATGATGATGATGTGGAGAATTGGTGACTGGGGCATATTGAGTGCATGACTGAGGTTGGCATCGCAATAATTATGTTGAAAACTTGGTTAATTTATTCCACAGATACACGGCAAGCGGCTAAACGGCACGGCCAGCTCGACAAAGCTAACGAAATTGAGTCCCAACACGCGCTATCACATCTGCGTCATCGGCACGGGTAATTGGCTCTCGGAGCCGTTGGCCAATGCGCTCCAAAGGCTGCACTACAATGAGTCGCGCGACGACCTGCTGCTCACGCTGGCAGCAGCTGGCGATGGGCCCCTGGCCGCCGCCCTGCCCTCCATGCCGGACAGCTACTCGCCGTATCAGCATCTGAATGGCGCCATCCACGAGCAGCACCAGCTCCAGCTCCAGCAGCAGCAGCAGCAGCAGCAGCAGCAGGCGCTGATTGAGAACAGCATTGTGACGGACAAGGCGCTGCATGAGGTGCTCAAGAACTCGCACATCTCGGCCTGCACCGACGTCCAGACCCTGGACTCCACGCCCAGCCTGATCACGGACGAGAACGGGCTGTCGAGCAACGGCTTCATACACTCGATACTGACGCGTCGCCTGGGCCTGATTGTCGGCTGCTGCTTGGGCATCATTGTGTTCATTGTGATGATATCGGTGCTCAGCTACGTGAAGCTCAAGAAGCAGCGCATCGAGAACGCCAAGCGGCAGGCGGCCATGCCGCCCGAGTACATCTCCTATCGCCATTTCTCCATACCCAACGAGGAGCTGACGCGCACCGCGGCCAGCGTCAACAGCGCTGCGGCCGCAGCAGCCGCCGCCTCGGCGTCAACGGCGCCAGCTGGCGGCGCCCATGGCATGGCCAGCGTGCCGAGTGGCATCAGTGCGCACATTAGCGGCACCAGCTTGAGCACCGGCACCGGCACCGGCACCACCACCACCACGGCAACCACGCCCATTGGCGGCGTGCCGTTGGCCCTGGCCAAGTCGGGCAGCCGCAGCCCCATTGTGGGCATCGGGGGACTCGTTGTCGAGAATGGCGATGCAGCGGGCAGCATTGTGGCCGTCTCCACATCGCCGGCGAGCAATGCACCGCACAACAATCACAGCCACAACAGCCACCACCACCACCACCGGCCCAACAACGGGGCCATCGGGGGCTACATGGCGGCGGGCGTGGTGCTCAATACGAACCATTTGAGCGTCTGTTAGTCGGCCCACGCCGGATTATTTCAATTGCATTCGATTTGCAGTTCATGCACTTCATGAATGTTGCATATTTTATGCTGAAAGACTTGCTCTCAGTTGTCGTCATTAATGGCAATATCCATGTCAGCATGCATATATATATATATATATATATATATATATATATATATATATGTATTTATACTCGAACAATAACCAATTCAATCAGACGCGAGCGAGTATTACGAAATATGCAGTGCTCAAAAGGTTACTCAAATAATTCATTCATTTTACCACACTGGCTCAGTATGTCTGTCCCCGCACTCACTTGATCTGCCAAATACACCCACTCAAAGCCCACAAGCATATATATGCGTATATATATATATATATATATATATATATATATATATATATATATATACATATATTTGATGTGCCATTCAATTCATTTAGCATAAAAACTTTTTCAATCGGAGGAAATGTCAAAGCATTTTTTATGTTTTCAATGTGGCCCAAAAATGCATTTAATTTATGAGTAAAAAAAAAAAAAAAAAAAAAAAAAAAAAAACAGAGAAACCAACTTCCAACAAATAAACATAAAAATAACTAGGTTAGTGATAATAAACATCATGATGCGTTCAACGTTCGTTTAGTTATGACAATTTCAAATAGAGCAAAAAAAAAAAAAAAAGAAATAAAATATTTAAAAATAATAATAAAAAGAAAAGAAAAAAAAAAATAAATAAATAAATATATATATAATAACAATACAGAGAGTAAACCATTTTCAATGTAAATACAAGCTGGAACGCAATGAAAACTCAACTCAAATATGAAAAGCAACACAGAAAAAAATCAAAAAGAAAAAAAAATCAGTTTTTAGTGTAATGATAAATATATGAAAATAAATGCAAGGAAATACTATGAAAAGTGTCGTAGATAAAGCCAGCTACGCATAGTACATATACATATGTATGTATGTATTTATTTAGGGTTTAGAGAGGCACAGACACAACTGTAATCAATGTTGATGTTGTTGACAATTTTTTTTTTCGAACCCAAGCGGAAAAACTTAGATGTAATCGAAGATAAACAATTTTTTTTTTGTCGAAGCAGCGCGGTAAGTAAGAATCACTAACAGTAAACGAAGGAGTTTAATAATCTCTTTGTCGAGTGGCATTAAACTGCAAGAGCAACATATTATAACTAATAAATCTAATTAAAATATACAATTAAACCAAGAATACGAAATTGGATTAGGCTAAGCAAGCAACAAAAGGTAAAAAAAAAAATAAAATAAACCAAAAAAAAAAAAAGAAAAGCAAAACTCAAAGAGTTTCATTTTTAAAATGCAAAAGAAATACTTTTTTTTTGTCATCTACTTTATAATTATCATTTTCGTAATACAATAAATAAATAGAATTTTTTTTTTAAATAACTACTTAAATGATAATGAAATAACTTTAGTCAAGGATTTAGCTATAATACGAAATAAATACAAATTGAAAGCATATTTAAATATTTAAGCAAAACATATTTATGTGACAGAGCGCTGCGTAGTATACCAATTACTTTATGGCCAGCTAAGAAGAAGAGAGAAAGAGGAAGCGAAAGCGAAAGCGAAAGTGAAAGTGGAACACGAAACACAAATGCAAATGCAAATAATGCTAGCAAACTAAACCTTAGCAAAACAAATCAAATCAAAAGATGTTACGCCCCAGTCCCTGGCTTAACAATAGCATACTTATGTGGGCAACGCTGCATGTCACACGCGAGCCGGGCAGATACCCTGTAAAAGTGTATGCTAAGTTATCTGAAAATAGCTGCGCAAATCGCTAAACGCAAATCAAAAGCAGACAAACAAACAAAATCAAAAATCGAAAATAAGAATCAAATGCAAAAATACAACAAAACCAAATACAAACAACAATACCAAAAAAATATAAAAACAAACCAAAAAAATTAAAAAAAAAAAAATACTATAAGAGTAAATAAATCTATGCATTAAACGAAGCTTACCAAATGCTCTGCAGTAATAATGTGCGTGTATGTGTTTGTGTGAGTTGAAAGCAAATCAATATTGATGTCCCTCCACACACACACACACACACACAGATACCAACATGCAATAGTTCTAGTCTTGTGTAGAACTTGAAAGCCAAACAGAATTCACTTACGAAACAGAAGCAAAAAAACAACAACAAAAATACAAATGCAATAAATGAAATTATTATGAAAAAAAAAAAAAAAAACAACAAATATTGTATTGAATGCAACAAGAACTAAATATAAATAAATGACAAACGAAATTTAACAATAAATTATAACTCGAAAGTTTTGCTTGATTGAGGCTGGGCCAGAGGGGAAAGGGGATAGGTTAAATGCTTGCTTTCATAGTAAAGTGTGCTAATATATGTGTGTATTATATATAAATATATATGCATATACTTATGTGCATGTATATATACGTATATTTATCATCTTGTTTTGTCTTTAGAAAATTTTAATGAAATGGACATTTCCGCTGTCTTGAGCACGTTTTCTCATCAACGGCATTAAATGCAATGCGGAATTTTAATTAGCCGCGCGCACACACCCACACGCACATAAAGAGACATGCACACACCCACACACACACACACCTAGACGCACAAGTTGAGCAAGGAGCAGCTCGCACCTGCCACAACCCAAATTCAAGCGTTGTTAGTCTACAGCTGCAGCTCACTCTCTCTCTCTCTCTCTCTCCCACTCTCTCTCCCAATCTCTCTCTCCCTTCCACTCTCTCTTATTCCTAGTTATTAAAATGTATATCATAGAGACTCTGTGTGCAACAAGATGTGCTGGGGGCCAAGAAGCCCCCAACAATAGGAGAGCAACTGAAACTACAAGCCGTCTGTCAGAGTACACACACACACACACATATATATATGTATATACACATGCAAACTCACACAGTCAATTTAAAAGTTGATTCAATAGCTGCTTGTACTATGCAATATTTACAGCAACTGGCATACATCAAAGCTGAAATTTCAGTGAGTGATGTCAGGACCGAATTTTGATTAATCTCGAGCGAAATAGGAACTGCAATAGAAACATAAACAAAATGTCTCTCTTGCAGAGGTGTAATTAATGTTTTACCTCAAAAGACTTCAAATATGTTTCCATTGAAATGCATTCAAATATTAATATGGATAAAAGCAATGCAGCTGAAATATGCATAGGGCTTAAATTTGTTGAGATGTCAACAAAGGGATTCATTTTACTCAAATTTAATACGCAATATATGTAACACATATGTGTATTATATAAGTGAGGGACATATTTGGAGATAACAACAAAATTGAAATACGAACAAAGACATAGTTTGAGAGAATGAATAAACAAGATGTTAAGGATGAGTTTTATCTGGTTTGATTCTACTCAAATTTCAGACGAGACGAAGCTGGTGCACGTAGCTGGAGTCGATGGAGTTGAGGCTTCAGAATGCATCACTGGTCAGCTGGAATATACAGAATATACACATATATATAATATATATAAAAACATATATATAAATATATAAAAATATAGTATTATTTGGTTATTAATTTAATACCGTTCCTCTTAAGAGCCATGCAAATACAATATTTTTCCAATGGAGCATTATTTGGAGCATGATAGTACTACAATTGATATTGCAAACATGGACGAAGGTAAAAACAAGGTTTATCCTGAATAAGATACAAGAAAAAAAAAAAAAAAAAAAAAAAAACACAATATATCAATATGATTACGTGGTAAAAACTGAAATTTAAATATTTACCTGAGCTACAATGAATGGATTGCTGAAAGCCTGCCACGCCTGTATCCTTACAGTTTTTATATCACATAGTCCGAAAAGCGCGGAAAAAACCGTTTGAATCGGCCATTCGAATGGCTTGAATACAGTTACTTCTTTGCAAAGCTGCAAACTGGTTGGATTCTCGCTTTATGCACAAAGCTGTGGAGGGCTTTGCTCTGACTAGCTGCTATGTTATATATAACATTTTTTATAAATAAGGTGAAGGGTACAAAAATGTTCCCTGATTCTATTTTCTGTTAACAGCATTGTGTTTCAGTTCCAGATGTTTCATATACCAATGCGATAGAGGGGCTAGTGGTAGAGGAGCGGTAGAGGTTAACATTGTCCGCTGCTAACATTGCCAACACTACATTGTTAACAGTGCCATGCCTTTAACAGTTTAACAGCTCTGCAGTTTCGTTGTCCCACTCTAGCACAATAAATCAAAGGACTCTGATGTATGAAACGAGTGCATGATAAAATGTATTCGATATGCACTTTATACGTTCTACATATGCTTAATTAATTATTTATCTGTGCACGTAATTGATTAATGTCTAATCGCACTCTCTTTTGCGATAGAATTCAATTATCGTTTGAAGCCAAATAATCGATTATCATATAATCATAACATAGCAATCGTGCCATCCCCAATACGCAGACAGTAAAAGTATTTTTGGTGTCTTTCAGTGAATTAATAGAAATAAAGTCGCTCTGACACATGAGCTTAACTTTTCCACAGTTTACTTTGTTTCTTCAAAACTTTTACTACTAATAGAGTATATGGGATATATTTATTATATATATGAAGTGTCATTGCAAATAGTGTCAAACTTTATAAGTTGGATCTGCTGTGAAAATGAAACAGATTTGATCAACTATGCACGAGCTCAGTTTTCTGCTGTTCTCTCTCTCTCTCTCTCTCTCTCTCTCTCTCTCTCTCTCTCTCTCTCTCTCTCTCTCTCTCTAGATCAAACTCACGGCTTTGGCTGTAACTCAACTATCTCACTCACACCTTTGGGTGGAATTAGCTGCAGACTAACTAGCAACAAATTAAATATTGTTAGTGACTCGAAACACTGCTCTATTGCAAACAGAGTCACATTTCGGCAATGCACAGCTCTGCTGGCAATGTAAATTGGCTAGTAAGCTGAGATGTTGGCACAGGAATGTTTGTTGTTTGCCCAAAGTGAATAAGGATGCGGCAACTGGGGCAGAGGATTAGGAGCAAGTGCCGCAGCGCGAGCAGCGTGAGCAGGAGTCGGCGTCTAGGCAGCTGGCTGCGGCTCCATTTGCATTACTTGCAACAATAAGTAGGTAACTAAGTAAGTTGCTTCATTAAAACAAACTTTAATTGGCAAAATTTCCACCTGTCTGACGTGAATAGGAGCTCTCTGTCTCTCCCTCTCTGTCTCTGTCTCTGTCTCCGTCTGTGCGCATATTTGGAGGAGTGAAAAAAGATACATGACAATATCGACAGCAGGACTATTTACCGCTCCGCTCGACTAGGAAAACACTTTGCGGGGCTTTAGGCAAACAGCAATTGCAACTGCGTCGGCGAATGGGCCTAGGCGTGCGACTGGAACCGGAGAGATGGGGCGATGGTATGGGAATGTAACCACAACTCAAGTCAAGTAACGTCAAGCCAAGTCGTCATCGGCATCTTCATCAGCAGCTCAACGACATGGATGTCAACTGTCTGACTTGGCTGTCGCTGTGGGTTCGACTTAATTGCATGACAAGGACAAGCACCGAGCTGGCATCGAGCTGGGCGAGTGAACGACGCGCCAAATACCCTGTCTGCAGCCATATAAGCTCCGGCACAGTGCAGCGTATCTCTTAGCTGGCATTCCAGCTCTACCTGCTCAGCCAGTTTTTGTCAAATATTTGCAACACGACATGTTTGGTCAAATTGAAAGGCATGGCTAGCCAAGCGACAAGCTCGAGTCCTGCAGACAGCAGGACACTCAATCACCAGGCAGCCAATAGTCAATTAAGTTGGCAACAACAACAATCAAATTGTGCAAATTCCAAAGGCTTTTGAATTTTTAATCTTCCAACTTTAATCTTGAGCCAAAAAAAAAAAAAAAAAAAAAAGGATATCATTCACACTGTGTCACATAACCTGGCCAACAACTAAAGTCGTGTGTGTGAAAACAACAGACGAGACGGGCCAAAAAACAAAGCAGTAGAAAAATATGTGTGCATGTATGTGTGTGTGTACGTGTGTGTGTATGTGTGTGTGAAGGGGAAAACAAGCGGAACATATTTTTCACATGAACACCGCAAAACTATTGAAAATTACTATAAACAGCTTCGGCAAACGTATGCCATGGACTTGGCTGGCCATCAACAACAACAGCAGCAACAACAAATACAACAACAACTACAACACCAATAACAAGGATATTTGAAACCAAAACTGACCACCCAGTCACCCAGTCAATTTATGAGCGTCGATTTGTGCAAAAAAAAAAAAAAAAAAAAAAAATGGGAAAAAAAATATTATATGTATATGTATAGAATATATATGTATTAGACAAACAAACTGTGAACCGAAAAGTTTTTCCATTAAATCAATGAAGCGCACAAAATATTCGCGCCAACGATAATATCGAGTCAAGGGAACAACGAGCAACTCTATAAGTCATTGGCATAAAAACAACAACAACAACAACAACAAAAATAGTCGAAACTTTTGATTTGTTATGTATTACTATACAGTATAATATAGTATAGTAAAGTTTATATATTATATGATCAATTGATGATGATCTTATGCATCAAGTGTTAAGGGATATGCAGTGGACTGCATATAGTATGACTGACTGCACACAGCCTGCAGCCGATTCCGATTTAGTTAGGTAGTTATATCAGCTCATAGATATGGCTTTGTCTGTTGTGTGTATGTGTGTGTGTGTGTGTGTGTCTGTGTATTTTATGTATGATGACAGCTCGATTTTTTCTGGTTTTTACACATTTTTTTACTAACAAAAGTAAAAAATAGAAATGCACCAAAAGTTGCGGAAAACATTTGCGCCAACAAAAAAATGAAACAAGTAAAAACATATCGGGCGTTACCAACCGAAGAATACTCATTTACGCCCAAACGCTTACAGCTCCATTTTTCGATTTACCGCGCCCCCAATAGGCGTAAATATACATTATTTATATACAAATGAATAGAGGATGTTTACAGAAGCTTAGCTCTTACATTTTGACTCTTTAGATGTAGAAAATACAGTTATTCTCTATCGGGCGGAATCGAGAAAAATCTTGACACATTACAAATCGAGGCTTTATAGATTCACATTTTAATTTTTACATTCATATTGACAGACGGACATTGCACAAAACCGATATACCCGTCTCACTTTCGTGAATGAGTGTGAAGCGAAGTGAAGTGAACAAAAAGCCAATTGGCTGCTGCTGCTGCTGCAGCAGTCACAGTCACAGGGTTCGAATGGGATGTGGGCTGAGCTCTATGTGTGTGCGTGTGTGTGTGTGTGTGTCGTGTACAAAGACAGACGTTGCAGCCGGACAACTGGACAGCTGCGAAGCTCGACTGTGTTGGGCTAGGTGGACAGACGGACGAATGGACGGACTCTGTGACAGTGGCGACGCAAAGGCAATGAATGGCCACATGACACAACATACGCTTCGTGTAAAAATTTTTGTCATAAATTTCGTTTGGCGGCCCCGTTGGCCACTTTTTTCTCAGTGTGTGTTTAGTCTTTTACTTCATTCTATTTGTACTTTTTTGTTAAGGCACTCACTATGCACACAGGTATTTTAAAAATTTTTGGGGTGCTAAAAGTGTTGGCATAAAAACGGAATTATTAATTGAAGTTCGCATAAACTAATTGCGCAATTTAGCCAAAGCAAACAAAGTGTTTTCCATGCAATTATCAAGAAAGCTGAGCTGGAAAAAATTACGAAATAAATAAAACAATGAATTGAGTGCGAATGCAGCTAAAATGCGACAATTTACACAATGATGTTTGATAAATGAAAAGAGATCCAAACATAAATTCATAATTGGGGAATATGAAGAGATCGCGCCACTGAACTGAGGCCGACTTACTTGAGAAGAAGAACGCTAGCAACAATGCAATTGCTATTTAGTTAAGCCAGCAATCAACATACATACATATGTATGTTCATACATGCATGCATACATACATATACTAATATGTCTGCAAAAACAGCTCACTCGCTCTCGCAGATGACTTTTGTACTTTTCGCTTTGCTTTCTCTTGAGCGCTTTCAGTCGAACTATCCGTGTGACGCTCATTTAACGAGCAGCAGTAAGAGAGTGAGAGGGAGGGAGAGACGATTGATGTTCGCAGAAGAAGACTCAGTGAGTCAATGCAAACGGTCTCCACCTACACACACACATGCACAAACTCCATTCGTCAGTGCAAGTGATATGCTTACATACGCACACAGCATCGCTTACACACCAATACACGCACAAACGTTTTTTTGGTTCAGCGAACAGCCAGAGCGAGACAGCACAAAATGAAACGGTTACGAGCCGATCGCGAATAAGCTCGTTAAAGAACCGATGCAATCGGCTGCGCTCTCTTTTTCTGTTCTCAGAGTGTGAGTAAAAGACATTTATGTATGTATGTATGTTTGTATGCATTACAAAGCAATAGTTTGTTGCGAGCTATGCTTGTTTGCAAGTAAATTGATCCACTTGTATACTAGAATGTAATATTAGTTAACTTTCTCATTGCGTATATCTTATGGATTCAATTTCTTACAGATATATAGAAAACAATACGTTTATGCATACCAATCAATCAATCAATCAATCCCAAAGAACTGCTTGGCGAGACAGGCAGGAATGCAGCAGTGCCTAGAAAATCCTTATAGTCAACTCAACCTTTGAGTTACAACGAAAAACTTGCTTTAAGCTGAATCTAAACTTCTTGGTTTGAGCAACGCATCTCCATAAACATTGGAAGGGCTAAGTCTATCAATAGTGCCAAATTGCATCTTAAATAATTAATATTTGCAAAGAAAACAGTGATGCACATTTTGAATTTAATTTATTTGTACGTTTCGCATCGAATTACTACTAATAAATTTCCGAAAAATATATTTACTAATTGCTCTGATTCACCCAGTACTTTGACTCTTCTAAATTAATCCATTCCTCTTCAGCTTAGCCTGGAATGGAGTGAGATGGTCAGCATAGAAAACTAACTGTTGGGATCTGATTGCCAAAGCTAACTCACCTGGCGAAGGTACTTCTGTCTTAAATGTTCGGAGAGCAGACAGTAGGCAATAGCGGCACGCTGCACGACCTCCTTCTCAGGAACCATCCCGTTGCGAAGTTTGTATTCGTGCAAGAACTCGAGATATGACTGAGAAGTATGCGGATTTGGCTTGTTGGACTTGTTCGCCTTGATGCAGTTGTTGAACTTGCGCTTCAGACTGGCGCAGTTGGTCTTCTTCTTGGCACAAGATGTTGCCTTGCCAGATATGTTCTTTGGCTTTGTGGACGCGCCTGGGGTAGCGGCAGACGAATGATCGGACGGGCTAGTGACTTTCCTGCTCATACGAATCTTGGGCACGCCCTTGGTCCTCTCCTTCTGGTCCTTGCATTTGCCATTGCGCTTCGATTTTTTCTGTACAATGGGTAAAATCGCACGTACATATTGTAGTTACAATTGCTTCAATTCATACTATGTACTATGCACTTACCGCAGCACCGGCCTTTGGCTTGACTGCCTGCTTCTTGGTGGCACGAGCTTTGGTCTTCATTGTCGGCTCTTAGGAATTTGGAATTGAATGATTATATTTGGCAATTTGAGCGTACCGAAGAATTTAGTGCGCTTAAATATTAGAAATTCGATTTTTATGAAATTCCCGAAAAAATGAAAAATATAAATTTTTATATGAGCTCCTACAACAAGCGAGAAGGAAATGTGAATGTCTGAATAAAATTTTGGGGACTATAGCCCTCTGAAACTTTTAGCCAAAGCCTACTACGATTGATATTTAAAACCATTTTTTGTACTCGTTCAGGCAGGTGTGGAGTGGAGAATAGAGTATACTACTTTGTTAATCTATGCATAGCTATTTAACTTGTGATGAAAAGTTGATTTATATTATTAATTAATCAATTGAGTTTGTATGAGGAATTTAAAATAAACTTTTTAAAATATTTCCGTGAGCATTAGAGTTGTCAAGTCACTCGCTGAAACCAATATAGTATCGATGCTTCATTCAATGTTATCGATTGAAAACTTTTGTGAAAATTATCTATAAAATTACATCTTTAGAATTTTTTTTCCATCAAAGTAGGCATAGACGAGCTAAAAAGGGTATATAAGGAGCGCTCTCGAGCTCACACAGTCATTTCGAAGCGAGTTTCATCGAGAAACAACTTCTAACGCTCTAAAAAAAAATAAAAATTGCTAAACAAAAATCTAAAATTGTAAAATCGGTCAAAAGTCCTAAACGCGCAAGTGAAATAAAAAAAAATTGCTAAACAAAAATCTAAAATTGTAAAATCGGTCAAAAACCTTAAACGCGCAAGTGAAATAAAAAAATTGCTAAACAAAAACTTTCATTGCAAAATTGGGATAAACATTAAACGCGCAAAGAAAAACTACGACAAATTGCTAAACAAAAATCTAAATTTGTAAAATTTGTAAAAATATAAAACGCGCAAAAAAAAATAAAAAATTGCTAAACAAAAATTTAAAATTTTAAAATCGGTAAAAAAAACTAAGCACGCAAGTGAAATAAACAAAATTGCTAAACAAAAATCTAAAATTGTAAAATCGGTTAAAAACTCTAAGCACGCAAGGAAAATAAAAAAAATTGCTAAACAAAAATCTAAAATTTTAAAATCGGTCAAAAACTCTAAGCACGCAAGTGAAATAAAAAAAATTGCTAAACAAAAATCTAAAATTGTAAAATCGGTCAAAAACCTTAAAGGCGCAAGTGAAATAAAAAAAAATTGCTAAACAAAAATCTAAAATTGTAAAATCGGTCAAAAACCTTAAAGGCGCAAGTGAAATAAAAAAAATTGCTAAACAAAAATCTAAAATTGTAAAATCGGTCAAAAACTCTAAGCACGCAAGTGAAATACAAAAAAATTGCTAAACAAAAATCTAAAATTGTAAAATCGGTCAAAAACCTTAAAGGCGCAAGTGAAATAAAAAAAAATTGCTAAACAAAAATCTAAAATTGTAAAAATCGGTCAAAAACCTTAAAGGCGCAAGTGAAATAAAAAAAAATTGCTAAACAAAAATCTAAAATTGTAAAATCGGTCAAAAACCTTAAAGGCGCAAGTGAAAATAAAAAAATTGCTAAACAAAAATCTAAAATTGTAAAATCGGTCAAAAACTCTAAGCACGCAAGTGAAATACAAAAAATTGCTAAACAAAAATCTAAAATTGTAAAATCGGTCAAAAACCTTAAAGGCGCAAGTGAAATAAAAAAAATTGCTAAACAAAAATCTAAAATTGTAAAATTTTTAAAAATATAGAACGCGAAAAAAAAATTGCTAAACAAAAATCTAAAATTGTAAAATCGGTCAAAAACTTTAAACGCGCAAGTGAAATAAAAAAATTGCTAAACAAAAATCTTAAATTGTAAAATCGGTCAAAAACCTTAAAGGCGCAAGTGAAATAAAAAAAAATTGCTAAACAAAAATCTAAAATTGTAAAATCGGTCAAAAACCTTAAAGGCGCAAGTGAAATAAAAAAAATTGCTAAACAAAAATCTAAAATTGTAAAATCGGTTAAAAACTCTAAGCACGCAAGGAAAATAAAAAAAATTGCTAAACAAAAATCTAAAATTTTAAAATCGGTCAAAAACTCTAAGCACGCAAGTGAAATAAAAAAAATTGCTAAACAAAAATCTAAAATTGTAAAATCGGTCAAAAACCTTAAAGGCGCAAGTGAAATAAAAAAAAATTGCTAAACAAAAATCTAAAATTGTAAAATCGGTCAAAAACTCTAAGCACGCAAGTGAAATACAAAAAATTGCTAAACAAAAATCTAAAATTGTGAAATCGGTCAAAAACCTTAAAGGCGCAAGTGAAAAAAAAAAAAATTGCTAAACAAAAATCTAAAATTGTAAAATCGGTCAAAAACCTTAAAGGCGCAAGTGAAATAAAAAAAAAATTGCTAAACAAAAATCTAAAATTGTAAAATCGGTCAAAAACCTTAAAGGCGCAAGTGAAATAAAAAAAATTGCTAAACAAAAATCTAAAATTGTAAAATCGGTCAAAAACTCTAAGCACGCAAGTGAAATAAAAAAAATTGCTAAACAAAAATCTAAAATTGTAAAATCGGTCAAAAACTCTAAGCACGCAAGTGAAATAAAAAAATTGCTAAACAAAAATCTTAAATTGTAAAATCGGTCAAAAACCTTAAAGGCGCAAGTGAAAATAAAAAAAATTGCTAAACAAAAATCTAAAATTGTAAAATCGGTCAAAAACCTTAAAGGCGCAAGTGAAATAAAAAAAATTGCTAAACAAAAATCTAAAATTGTAAAATCGGTTAAAAACTCTAAGCACGCAAGGAAAATAAAAAAAATTGCTAAACAAAAATCTAAAATTTTAAAATCGGTCAAAAACTCTAAGCACGCAAGTGAAATAAAAAAAATTGCTAAACAAAAATCTAAAATTGTAAAATCGGTCAAAAACCTTAAAGGCGCAAGTGAAATAAAAAAAAATTGCTAAACAAAAATCTAAAATTGTAAAATCGGTCAAAAACCTTAAAGGCGCAAGTGAAATAAAAAAAATTGCTAAACAAAAATCTAAAATTGTAAAATCGGTCAAAAACTCTAAGCACGCAAGTGAAATACAAAAAATTGCTAAACAAAAATCTAAAATTGTAAAATCGGTCAAAAACCTTAAAGGCGCAAGTGAAATAAAAAAAAATTGCTAAACAAAAATCTAAAATTGTAAAATCGGTCAAAAACCTTAAAGGCGCAAGTGAAATAAAAAAAAATTGCTAAACAAAAATCTAAAATTGTAAAATCGGTCAAAAACCTTAAAGGCGCAAGTGAAATAAAAAAAATTGCTAAACAAAAATCTAAAATTGTAAAATCGGTCAAAAACTCTAAGCACGCAAGTGAAATACAAAAAATTGCTAAACAAAAATCTAAAATTGTAAAATCGGTCAAAAACCTTAAAGGCGCAAGTGAAATAAAAAAAATTGCTAAACAAAAATCTAAAATTGTAAAATTTTTAAAAATATAAAACGCGCAAAAAAAAATTGCTAAACAAAAATCTAAAATTGTAAAATCGGTCAAAAACTTTAAACGCGCAAGTGAAATAAAAAAATTGCTAAACAAAAATCTTAAATTGTAAAATCGGTCAAAAACCTTAAAGGCGCAAGTGAAATAAAAAAAAATTGCTAAACAAAAATCTAAAATTGTAAAATCGGTCAAAAACCTTAAAGGCGCAAGTGAAATAAAAAAAATTGCTAAACAAAAATCTAAAATTGTAAAATCGGTCAAAAACTCTAAGCACGCAAGTGAACTACAAAAAATTGCTAAACAAAAATCTAAAATTGTAAAATCGGTCAAAAACCTTAAAGGCGCAAGTGAAATAAAAAAAATTGCTAAACAAAAATCTAAAATTGTAAAATTTTTAAAAATATAAAACGCGCAAAAAAAAAAAATTGCTAAACAAAAATCTAAAATTGTAAAATCGGTCGAAAACATTAAACGCGCAAGTGAAAAAAAAAATTGCTAAACAAAAATTTTAAATCTAAACTTGTAAAATCGGTCAAAAACTCTAAGCACGCAAGTGAAATACAAAAAATTGCTAAACAAAAATCTAAAATTGTAAAATCGGTCAAAAACCTTAAAGGCGCAAGTGAAATAAAAAAAAAATTGCTAAACAAAAATTTAAAATTGTAAAATCAATCAAAAACTTTATACGCGCAAGTGAAATAAAAAAATTGCTAAACAAAAATCTTAAATCTAAAATTGTAAAATCGGTAAAAAAAACTCTAAGCACGCAAGTGAAATAAAAAAAAATTGCTAAACAAAAATCTAAAATTGTAAAATCGGTCAAAAACTCTATGCACGCCAGTGAAATAGAACAAAAAAATTGAATATCCTAAACAAATATACGTCGCAGAGCGTCGGTTAGCGTGAAAAAAAGAAAAAAAAAAGATAATAAGTCAGATTTAATAAAATTTTGTTCATTTAGATCGAGTCGAGAAAATATCAAGTAAAAATGCATCCTTCCAAATCCGGCAGCTCCAAGCAAGGTGAGGAATTGAACAAGAAGGAAACGGAGTCGACCAAGGCCAGAGTGGAAACACCATTTGACGTCCCGCCTCTACCGGAGGACATCGACAGCCTGTCCAGCACTGATAGCGAGACAGAGACAGCCATTATGCAAGAGTCGAGAAAATATCAAGTAAGAATGCGTCGTTCCAAAACCGGCAACTCCAAGCAAGGTGAGCCGTTGAACAAAAAGGAAAAGAAGTCGGCCACGGCCAGAGTGGAAACACCATTTGACGTCCCGCCTCTATCGGAGGACATCGACAGCCTGTCCAGTGGCAGCATACAATTCATAAGCGATTCGGACTAGAGCTGCCAAACTATCAATAGTGGGCCCCATCGATTGAGGGCGACAATCTGGCAGAAGGAGGCGAGCACAATGCTAATCAAGCGAAACGAATTTCTTGAAGAACCATAAAAATCCACGCTATTTATTGTTTCAATATGATGAAATAAAAACGTCATCTAGCCTCACGTCTTTCTTTTGTTTTTAGATTTGTCTATATTTTATATAATTTTCATAATATTTTGCTAGAGATGGGAATGCATTGTCACATGCCGAGAGCTTGGCAGCGCGTGTGTGTGTGTATGCAGAAAAGGAGTGAAGAATTATTGGACTAGCAGTTCTTCGAAAAGTCCAGCAGATATTGTAAATTTATTGGCTCGTATTTAGCTATGAGCAGAGAGAGAAAGAGTTATGTCCAGCTATGTCGGGTAGAGCTGGGAAACCATCGATGGACGGCTCCATCGATGGTTTTCCCATCGATGGAAAAAATAATCGATTATATCGATGGTTCCATCGAACATTTTTTCCTTTCAAATTTTAAACTTTTTTTTTTTTTTTGTATAAAAGTCGTACTTTTCATAATAGAAATAAATGTAAATAATGCTCTTGTAATTTCATACTTTTCCTTGTACATTTTTACAGAATAAGAATAAAGAATATAGACAAATATAGAGAAAATATAAAAGTTTAATTCATTAAATTTTCATGTCCAAAACATAACACAAATTCAACATAACGATTTTAAAGATAACTTAAATATAAAAGAGACCTATTTTCTTTCTTATCGACAAATTAAAAAATAAAAATATAACAAATTAATAAAGATATAGTAAATATTCAATATTTACAAAAATAAGATAATACTAAAATATTAGTCTCGTTGTTTTCAGGGAACAGCCATTCATTTTTGTTAAAAAAAAAATCAATTGATTGGCCTTTTTTTTTCTTTCAAAGACTCCCGGCGGTCAGAAATCAATTCACCCGCCTTGCTAAAAATTCGCTCACTTTCCACAGAGCTAGCTGGAATAATAGCACAACAGCTGAGTGCATTTAATTGGTGTTCGTTAATCTGAAACAAAACGGACCATTAAAACTATAAAATGAAAGGGTTTTATAAATTACCTTCCAAAATTGTAGCGGATCGATGTCATGAGATGAATGGAGCAGTTGTTTCAACGTGGTCTCTTACCACGAACGGATGTACACGTCTTAAGTGTTCCATCATATTGGAAGTGTTGCCGCTCGTGCGGTACTCTTTTCCGCAATGACGGCATTTGGCAAGCATCTTCATGAGTTTCTCAAAATGTGACCAAACTTCTGATGTGCTTTTTTTTCGTTTCGTGCTAGGCTCATTGGATTCAGTTAATGCATTTGAAGATGCAATTGCAGTGGAGGCATTGCAGGTTTTATCTAAAATGTGAAAAATACGTTCAAGCTAGAAAAAAGCACATTTTTTTAACGTAATGTACCCTCCACAGGGTTTAAAATACTTACTTGAAACGACAAACTTGTCCATGTTGAAGAGGAACTACCAATGTTTAACAATGTCCGTATGCTATGTTTGTCAACTATCTATAAAATTTCCAAAAGTAGATCAAGCACGCAAAAAATAAATTTTATTTTGTTACAAAAGAAAATATCACCACTTACATGTGTTTGATTTGTTACTCAAAGCGGCGATATATCGATATCGACAAAAGTCCATCGATATATCATAAAGATTAAAGTCCATCGATATAATCGATGGTTGCATCGATGGTTTCCCAGCTCTAATGTCGGGGAGTGCATATCGGAATAATGCTATAAGAAAATAATTTCACTGCGACGTGCAAATGACAGTATCAAATATCGGTGTGACGTCGTGTTGCTTACTATCATCGTACTGTCGTGATTTACTCTGCTGAGTGCGTTAGTATTTTAATGACAAAGTTTGCATTGTCACTAGGAGAGAGAGACAAGTCAAGCACAGGGCTGCATTGATTTCGATAATCGATAGTAGTTTGACAGAGGAAATTCAATTCAAGACTCGTGGACGAGCAAGAGCTGCGCAGAGTTATAATGGAATTTGAGAAGAGTATTAATGTTACCACATGACTATTTGATCAAATCAGCATTTAATACTCTCTCTCTCTCTCTCTCTCTCTCTCTCTCTCTCTCTCTCTATCAACTTTCATCCATAGCTAACAAAAAAAAAACTAAGCGAGCAGCAATTCGCAAGCCGAAGGCCTCTACACAAGGTGCTCGATTAACTGTCGCTTTTTGGAGCTGCTGCTGTGCGTTTGCATATGTGTGTGTGAATGCGGCCATGTATGTTAATATGAAAACAAGTAAGAATAAAAAAGCATTAGTGGATTATCTGAGAACACGCTGTGTTGATGCCCCATCGAGGGAATCGCCGCTGTGTCTTTGACAAGGAAATTCCATTAAAAATGAAAGTTTTAAATTTCAGAGAGCAGCAGCTAGTTGTAACAGCAGCAGCAGCAGCAGCAGCAGCAGCAGCAGCAGCAGCAGCAGCAGCGGCAGTAAATCAACAACAACTGCAAAATAAACCACAAGCAACCAGCTAAAGACAACAGCAACAAATGAGCAACAATAGCAACAATAAAAACAACAATAACAACAGCAACACCGAAACACAAAAAATAATATAGCAACAGCGTGCCAGTTATTGTTATTGTTAGTGCTTGTGTTGGTGGGATTGCTGTTTGTTGTTGTTGCCGGCACTACTCCTGCTGCTACTCCTGCTGCTGCTCCTGCTGCTGCTCCTGCTGCTGCTGCTGCTGCTGCTGGTACTCCTGCTGTTGCTGGTGTTTTTATAGCTGCTTACAGTTAAAACGGCCAACAGACTTACAACACAGATAGCAAAGTTGCCAGCTCGGCCAACGTGCAAAACACAAACAGAAGCTGCCCGTCTTGTGATAAATGACCACTCCATAAATTTTTATTTCTACTCAACTCAATCTCAAGCTCAATCTCTTGCTGCTGGCGCTGCTGCTGATGCTGCTGCTGCTGCTCCTGGTGATGCTCCTGCTGCTGCTGCTTCTGTTCCTACTCCTGCTCCTGCTGTTGCAGGTGCTGCCCCTGGTCAGTTTTATGGGCACTGCTGTTGCCGCGAAAAGCACTCTTCGTTTTGGGCCATGATTGCGCATCGAGTCCACAGTCCACACTCTCCACTGTCCACCGTCCGGCTATCCAGAGAGCAGGAGTCCGCCTTAAGCTCCAGCAAAATTGTTTGTCTGGCATTCTGATGGGCAGGCAGCAGCCAGTGGGATTTCCATTCAGCACGTGCTGCTGGCAACGCATGCAAATTGATTGCACTGCCAGGTGAGCGGCTGACAGTGACAATGATGAGCATCAGTAGTTGCTGGGCGCTGTTGGCGCCTCCGCCAGATAAGCAGACGCTACAAATAAATTAAGGCATTGTCAGCCAAGCCGGCAAAATTGTCATCGACATGCGCATTATCATTTAGCCCAATGGCTGCATCTCTCTTCACGTCAGCTCTTCAGTTTGATTTGCCATTAACTGTATAGCAAAGGACATTTTTTCCTGCTGGCTTAGGCTACTTATGACTGGCATGTGGAGTATAGCCAAGGAAAACAATGTCTTCAATAGTCACAAGGAAATAACTCCAAGAATAAATCTGCTTATGCCTTTATGGCTATATTAAAGTGTAGAGTCTGACTAGGAACTCTTCCCCCACATTCCTAGGCATACAGTGTCTTCAAGAAGTATTTGCAAAATCGAACCAAAATTATACAGTAAAAGTCTTATGGCACAAAGATGCGACACCTTAAAGGCATAGCCAAAAATTTTAATAACCTCCGTGCCTGAGTCAATTGCAAACAAGTAAGAAGGCTCTCGTCGAGACTGCTCGACTAGGAGATACGCTGAACCCTCTAAGCTGATATTCTAATCATTCTGCACTTCTCTTATGCACACATGCATACACACTCATTCTCACGAACGTATAATCACGCGCTCTGCTGACTGCGCAGCTAGCAGCGACAGCACTTGGGCTGCGCTGCAGTGTAGGCAATATTATGAGAATTTATTTGTTGAATAATTTCATTTGTAGACATACAATCTTAATGAAACTTTCAGATGTGTGTGTGTGTGCTCAATGTGTGTACATTCCGAAGCACAAGTCTCTAGTACTTGAAATGCGTTTTTTACGAATTGGGGGCGAAGGGGGCTTGGTATTCAAAATCTTTATATCGAGCAACTGTATATACACAGTAAATCTGAAGTCTCTAGGTCTAAAAGTGTTCAAATTAGGCTGAAATAACAATGTCGATTTTTCGATTATTCTCGATAAAAAAGTTACCGGACGAGTTATCGAAAAAATATGATAAACTTGTACTGCGTATGGTACACACGAGTATGCATGCCAAATTTCAGCTCTCTAGCTCTTATAACTTCTGAGATCGACGCACTCATACGGACGGACGGACGGACGGATAGACGTACAGGGCTATATCGACTCAGCTCGTCACGCTGATCAAGAATATGTATACTTTATGGGGTCTGCCACGCCTCCTTCTGCCCGTTACATACTTTTTCACAAAACCATTAAATCCTGATTTCCCATTTTCAATGGGTTCAGGGTATAATTATATAAAAAGGTTGTCATGGAGATAGACATGTTTTAATATAAGACATGAAAGTCTAATTGAAATGCTAAGTACAATATTAATGTAAAATAGACATCACATATATCTGTATTTATACATACATATGTATATATATATATATATAGCTGCCTGACTCAATCGATGCATCAACAGTGAGGCGTCAGCACTCTCTGAGATTTGCACTCAGACACGAAAACTGGCCACAAATCCACATTAATGGAAATTTCATTCCAGACAGAAGCTTAACATGGTGCATGCATTCCAAAACGAAAAGGGAACAATTAAAGCAGAGGATCTACTGAATGAAGCTGGCTACTCGACAAATTTCTAAATTGACCCAAATTAAGAACAAACTGCAGCTGTACAAAACGTTTCGAAAATCAATTTCCATTCATGGTAAACACTTACGGTTGACTACATCCAAGCAGAGCATATTCATAATGCAAAGCTCACAGTTGAATCTGCTAAGAAGATTTGGTAAGAACCATATCATATTTATCAACAATAATAATCCACATTGTCAGACTTGCACTTATATTTGCTCGACAAGGGGCACCGCCTCTGCCAGCACTACTCGAGAGAATTCGTGGAAATCTTAAGAAAGGGCGATCGCTGATCGTTGAATTGATAATGGATAGATTCAAGGACAAATGGAATTAGTTAAACTCGTTCTCTGTATCCAGCTCCTATAGATTCCGAGATTGACACGCTCAAAGATACGACGGATGGAAACGGCTAAATAGACTCAGTTCATTGTTTCTATATCTATTTATATTTTTTGTTGTCCTGCTAGGGCTTCTTGTGCATGTTACATACATTTAAACAAAACCATTATACCCTGATTTCCCCATGGGTTCAGGGTAAAAAATTTGTCATAATTGCTTGACTAAATCGATGCCAAATTTCAGGACTGCTTCTCAGTTCAATCTAATATTTAATTTCACACACACATATCATATCATTTATTTTTATTATAATTAGTACAAAACTCAAATAAAAACCTTTGTGGGTTTCATGACAGAAAAGGGTTTTTTTTTTTTTTTTTTTTTTGTAGTACTCTTGCTATATAATTTTGGGTTCCATTTCAATAAGGAATTGCTATTATTGTGCGACACATAAAGAAAGTTTTGAAACACATATATGTAGGCCATTCAGTGATTTATGGTCTGAGAACTTAATAGATGTTTTGTTCTTGGCCCAAGCGAAAGGTGCGAAATGGACAGGGACACCTTTAAGTTGTGGTCGCTGTCGCTATCTTACGATTCGGGTTTGTTCTTAGTTTCTTTTTTTTTTTTTCTTTTGTTCTCTCCGTTTTTTTTTTTTTTTTTTTTTTTTTTTTTTTTTTTGATTGTGAGTGAGAGTGTAAATTGTAAGCAGCTGTTCCACGCACGTTCGCGCACATAAATCAATTACAGAGCTCAGGGAAAAAGCTGCCGTCTGCGTAAGGCGTGGCAGTTGCCGATAGTCCCTAGATGCATCTGCGTGTGTGTGTGTGTGTGTGTGAGTGTAAGTGCCATTCCAGCTGCTGCTTTATTTTTAGGAATCGTCGATAGACTTTTGTGAAAGCGAAAATTGTTAACGCAATAAAGAGCAACCTGCACTCTATGGAGTTGAACGAGAAATTTGAAAACTTTGTAATACCCTAAAACTAGACAGAGGTAGATACGCAGAGAGTGTGTGACAGAGGGAGCGAGAGAGGGGGGAGAGCAGCAGTAGATAAGCGAAAGGATGTTAAGCTGCAGTAGTGTGAGCGACTGGCTAAAATAACTCGACGTTAACAAGCCGCCGGATTTGTCCTGATGCCTGTTAAGGATTGCCGATTGCCGATTGCCTGGGCTGAGCTGGGCTGGACTGGGCTGGACTGGGCTGGGCCTAGCCATGTGTCGACAACGATACTTTAAGTGCAACTTTAAATATGGATGCAGCATCGGGATGCTGGCCATGCAGCGGCCGCAGCTGCTGAAGTGGGGCGCAGATTACAGTCGACTACACAACGGAAATGCAGCTACGGCCGGAGCCAAGCCGTTATTGATTGTTGCACGATATCAGTCGAAAAGCCCGCACAACTAACATGTCCAGCAAATACAGAGCGAGAGAGAGCGAGAGAGAGAGAGAGGGAAAGGTAGAGAGAGAGCGAGAGATATTG